GTTAGGTGAGACTAGGTATTTTAGAAATGTATGCTTAGGCGAGACTAGGTATTTTAGAAATGTATGCTAGGGGAGACTAGGTATTTTAGAAATGTATGCTTAGGCGAGACTAGGTATTTTAGAAATGTATGTTAGGTGAGACTAGGTATTTTAGAAATGTATGCTAGTCGAGACTAAACCGCTGAATTATTTGGTCGGAGTAAATAATTAATGTCAAAATGTTGGAGAAGAAACGACTGTTTCCCCAATGTTGTTGTTTTATAATCCGTAGAAAGATTCATAAAATATACTGTATATATATGATGCCACACAGTTTCTATAAATAAGTGGGGAAAAGAAAAAGTCAACATCCTCCCATCTCATTAATAAAAACAAAATGTTTTCGTCTAAGTCTGAATTGCTGATGCATTTGCAAAAAAAAATTAGCTAAAACCTCACCCTCTTTAAACCACTCGCAAAAGATCCAGTCTTTAAAGAAGAAAAAAGGAGAAAAGAAACGGCTTAATTTCAAATCATCAAACAAAGAAAGTTACAACGAACCATTTACCCTATTTACCCTACCAGAACTTGTTGATTCGCTTGGAAAATCACAGGACTCTGCTTCAGGTCCAGGTTATATTCCATATCAATTTCTCGAACACCTACCGGACTCGTCACTAAGATGCCTTCTTTGCATATTCAACCAAGTTAAAGCTTTAAACGTGTAGATGTGAGTGTGAGAGAATGTGCTATTTTTTTGTATATGTAAAATACACTTGTGAAAAATAAATAAATTAAAAGAAAAAAGTTTAAGCTTCCGGAAGGATTCCAGATTTGTGGAAGAACTCCATAATTATACATATCCCAAATCCGGGAAAGGATACTACTGACCCAAAAAACTATCGTCCTATTTCTCTAACTAGTTGTGCATGTAAAACTTTTTATACGAATGATAAACACTAGACTGGTTTGGTTTCTTGAGGCCAACGATATAATATCCCCTCTTCAAAGTGGTGTTAGAAACAGAAGAGGGACAAATGACCATCTCATCAGACTCGAGACATTCATTCGAGAAGCTTTCGCCAAGAAGGAACACCTTGTTGCCGTGTTCTTTGATCTTGAAAATGCCTATGATACTACATGGCAGAAGGCATCATGAAAGATCTTCACGACCTTGGCGTACGTGGAAACCTCCTCAATGTTATATCTAATTACCTATACGATAGACACTTCAAATTCCGTGTTGGTTCAACTTTTTCTGAAAAGTCTAAACAGGAAATGGGAGTCCCACAGGGTGGAATCCTATCAGTCACCCTGTTTGGTCTTAAAATCAATGATACAGTCAAATGTCTTGGTCAGTCAACAGAAGGGTCGTTATTCGTGGATGAATTTTTGATCTGTAACAGATCTAAGAGCATGCACACGATAGAACGACAACTTTAACAGCGTTTAAACAAACTACAAAATCGGGAAGACGAAAACGGCTTCAAATTCTCTAAATCCAAAACTCTGTGCATACGTTTCTGTCAAAAAAACAACAACACAGGCACTAGAATTCCCGTTGTTGAACAGACCAAATTTCTCGGCCTCATTTTTTATTCTTGATTCGAAACTCTCTTTCATACCACATATAAAGTATCTAAAGGATAAGTGTTCCAAGGCGTAAAACATTATACGAGTCCTTTCTCATACTGATTCGAACAAAACTGGATTATGGTTCTATGGTATACGGGTCGGCGCGCAGTTCTTACCTGCAGATGCTAGACCCAATCCATAACCAAGGGCTACGTCTAGTCTACGTCTACTACGTCTACCGTCTACGTCTACGTCTACGTCTACTACGTCTACCGTCTACGTCTACGTCTACGTCTACTACGTCTACCGTCTACGTCTACGTCTACGTCTACGTCTACGTCTACGTCTACGTCTAGTCTACGTCTACGTCTAGTCTACGTCTAGTCTACGTCTACGTCTACTACGTCTACCGTCTACGTCTACGTCTACGTCTACTACGTCTACCGTCTACGTCTACGTCTACGTCTAC